AGAATGGGGCCACGCAACCGGGGAAGGGGAATGGGTGTTGCACCGCGGGAGGGGAGCCTGGGGGGTGCAAGTAGCTGGTCTTGCCTAGGGCGCAAAATAGTCTAGCACCGGCCCTGGCTACAAGTGGACTGTGTAGGAATTTGTCCTAGCAATGGGAACGTATATGAAATTCTCTTTGTAACTGGATGCCAATCATTCCTTTTTTCTATGGAGAAACATTTTACTGAGCGCATGCTGCATTGTGCCATCAGCCAAGCCCAGGAGAAGGTCTCACCGGGTCCTGGTGATGTGGCAATTCGAAACTGGGAAAATCTTTCCTGGCCTGCCATTCCCAGGGAGAGATCTTCCTGAATATAGCTCAGAATACATAAAGGGAAATACTGTAAATATATGTGTATATATATTATTATTATACAGGATTTATAAAGCGCCGACAGTTTGCGCAGCGCTTTATAATATAAGGAGGACATTACAGTTACAATACAATTCAAGATAAGATGGTAAGGAGGGCCCTGCCCCTGAGGGCTTACAATCTAAAAGGTATATATATGTGGCCGTCAGCGACTAGTCAATGTTAGGGCAGAACGGAGAGCGGCAAGACTGGTACAAGACAACAGAAGGGCAACAGTGCAGTGTCAGAGTCCTCGCATCACCTTTCATCATCTCGTGGAGTCATCTCGTGGCCCAACGAAGTCATCTCGTGGCCCAACGAAGTACTGATGGGGTGGTCATAATAATCTGGCCACTCTGTATATATATGTACCTTGGTGCTACACATCAATATGACAATATAGCAAAGGTATAGTAGGCACTCACTACCAAGGACGGACAAACTCCGGCCCTCCAGCTGAGGTGGAACTACAAATACCAAGATTTTCAAAGCCACAGGCATGACTCCGGGAGAGAGATGCATCATGGGATTTGTAGTTTCACCACAGCTGGAGGGCCGGAGTTTGCCCATCCGTGAGTCTAGACTATAATCTTCCAATGGTTGGTTTAGCACACCGATGTTTCGGCAGGTCACAGTCTTCAGAAAGGTGAACTCTGATCTGCTGAAATATCGGTGTACTAAACCAAATTTTTGATGACTATAAAATAAAAATAAATTTGAGCTAGCCTGGAACCCCCCGCCCTTAAAAAAAAACCTTTCTAACAATCTGCATAAAAAGCAGATGTTATAGTTGCACAACATCTGCAAAATATGTGAAAGCCGCACTGCCCCGCCAAGGCCCCTCTGTGTAGTGCGGTCCTAACTCGAATCTATGAGAGCCGCCATCTTGGAGAATATATAGCAATGGACACATTGAGTGTGGGTACCTCTGGAGGTAGACCATTCCTCTGTGCAAGACTTTTCTTAACTCTTACAGTGCAAGGATGAAGTGCTCATATTTGTCCGGTGATGGTATGTCCCTTGACCTCCTCACAACCTATAAAAAGTGTATAGGGTGTGATGACTCAAGGACCTTTACACTGCTGGAGTGGAGGGGAAGTGGGCTGGAAGGACCCGTCTAAGAGCATGGCAGCTCCGACGTTCAGGTGAGTATAACTTTTTTATTTTGCCCCTAGAGCAAAACAAGCAATAATAAAATAATTAATAAAAGTTTTGTCCAGAGTTCTTCTTTACAGCTACTGGGACACACCAGGGGCCCGGCACCACAAAATAGCAGTGACCCCCAGTGTGTCCCTACACCATGTACAGCAAGAGGTGCAGCTGCCATATTCCTGTCCATGACTATAATCTCGTTCTGCCACCTCCTCCGAAGCTGCTGGTTGTCATCGACTCAGCAGCTGTGAGGAGGTACGCGCTGCAGCACGTGTGAATGGCTGCGTGTTTCTCCTCACAGCCGCCAGTGACAGCCAGCAGCCTAAAAAAGCCATAGTGACCCAGGCGGCCCGCGCGGCATCAGGGAAATGTCCTGGCCGGGCCCCATAGCAGCCGCCAGTGTCGCTATGGTGATTGTTACGCCACTGCGTGGAAGACCTCTGAGTGCTGACAATACCTTTGAAACATTATATATATATATTGTGTACACTGAGTGGCCAGATTATTATGACCACCTGACGTTTGTAGGCAAATTAGCTATAATTTCGCACTGAAGTTGCTAGAGGGCCAAAACATTATAAATAGGGGAGCAGGTTGTTTACCACGACAGTAGAAGTGATAGTTTTCTGAAGATACGGGGAAACAACGCGATTTAACAGTCTTTGAACGCGGGATGATTGTTGGCGCTCGGAGCCATGGAGCGAGTATCAGCAAAACAGCAGAATTTGTTAAATGTTCAAGAGGGGCTCACTGTTAAAGTGTTTAAAGACCGGACTGTCAGCCAAAAATCTGGGTCTGAACGTGCGAATTGTGGCCGTCAGCGACTAGTCAATGTTAGGGCAGAACGGGGGAGGGGCAAGACTGGTACAAGACAACAGAAGGGCAACAGTGCAGTGTCAGATTCCTCGCATCACCTTTCAACATCTCGTGGAGTTACCAGGCGGCCCAACAAAGTACTGATGGGGTGGTCATAATAATCTGGCCACTCAGTGTATAATGATATATTATACATCTACATTTTTTTATTTGTACTTAAAATTAGTTTTGCCTGGGATGACCGTTATACTGAACAGCAGAAATGGAGAAAATCAGGATAAGACACGGAAGGAAGATTACGTCTTGTACTCGGCTGTCTGAGAATGATAACCGAGACACTAGAGGCTGTTTGTGGTCCAGTCTTTTCTATACAAGCTTCCACTGATACATGGGGCAGTGGCTCAGACTGGGGGCAGCTGTGGCATTTGCCAAATGGGCCAGTGTGTCTGATAGGAGGTTATGGCCGGCACCAAGAGCCAGTTTCTATCATTCGTGATTTTTTTAAGTCAGGAAATCACACAGATATCCTTCACACACTGCCAAATGCCGACACTCAAGTGAGTCAGGAGCTCCACCAGCACATATACTATATTTTGGGGGTCACAAAGGTTATATTTCTTTCCTTCTGCAGGATCTCCAGGCTGGGCATTGTTATAAATCGATTATCAGATGAAAATGCACCTATTTGTAATTTTAAAAGGGGAACTCTGGGTAAATGTGGTCATGTGATCAGATGATTGATCTACTATAAATCCAAAGGCCTGATTTGTATCCCTGTCCAGGACAATTCTATCCTCTGTAGGAGCCCCAAGTGGACCCAGCTCAGTAGTTGGAACGTGCAGATGACGGCATTTATAAACCTCTATAGAGAGCCCTGGAGCCTCATCTGTTATAATGGAAGCTTTCTGCTCTGTGTCATGACCTATGTTCTGCATGGGGTGTGGTTTTATTCAAGTGATTTTTTATTTGGTTTTTAATTGATGGTTTACATGTTACATTTTTACTATATAAAAACATTTAATAGAAGGTGCACCCAGGCATAGTTCTTCCAGAGCACTATGAGTTTTCTAACAGCAAAAGCTGTCTGCCTTTAGCTGAATCTCTAGGTGGCCCATTTGAGCAGAGCAGGAAGGTGGAGGAGTCAAACCTCGGCCTTTTTCAGGAGCTTGTGTAAATCTGACCTTTAGCTATTGAACTCTGTAAACTATTTAAAAAAAATTTTCAACAGGGCAGCTAAGAATTAGCAGTCTCGACTATTGTAACTCCCTCCTCATTGGCCGACCTCTACACAGGCTATCCCCCTTCAGTCTATCATGAATGCTGCTGCTAGACTCATCTACCTTACCAACTGGTCAGTGTCTGCAACCCCTCTCTGTCAATCCCTCCACTCGATTCCATCCCCAATTCCCCTCTGCCAATCCCTCCACTGATTTCCATCCCTCTCCTCTCTCTGCCAATCCCTCCACTGGCTTCCATCCCCCTCCTCTCTCTGCCAATCCCTCCACTGGCTTCCACCCCCCTTCTCTCTCTGTCAATCCCTCAACTGGCTTCCATCCCTTTACTGGCTTCCATCCCCCACCCCCCTTTGCCAACCCCTCCACTGGCTTCCATCACCCATCCCCCTCTGCCAATCCCTCCACTGGCTTCCATCCCCGAGCCCCCTGTGCCAATCCCTCCACTGGCTTCCAATCACCCAAAGGGATCAAATACAAAATATTAACAACCACTTACAAATCCATCCGCAACTCTGCCCCCGGATATATCTCCAACCTTGTCTGAAAGTATCACCCTAACCGTCCCCTCCGTTCCTCCCAAGACCTCCTGCTTACCAGCTCTCTCGTCAACTCCTCCCATGCTCCCCTCCAGGACTTCTCTAGAGTATTGTAAAGCGTTGCGCAAACTGTTGGCGCTATATAAATCCTGTATAATAATAATAATAATAATAATAATAGAGTCTCTCCCATTCTTTCACATTCACTCAACTAAACAAAACATCTTTGAAAAGTTTATATATTTAATCCAACTTTACAAAACCCCTTTCCATGCCCTTTTGCAAACTGTCTTTTGCGATAAGTTAACCAGTTCTACACCGCGGCCTATTGTCCTCCCCAGTGACACGCCGGCGGTTAGAGGATGAGCCATAATGAACACAGACAATCCCGGCAATAGAAAAGAAAGTTGTATTAAACTCTCAAACCTTTTTTTTCCAGTAATGAATCCAGATCAAACAAATCTACATCGCCCAGCAAAGTATTGCTTTGAATATTTGCCCAAACACTTACAGTCATCATGTTTTCAAACAACTCCAACTCTCTTAGCTCGGCTTCCCTGAACTTCCTGTCCAGTGCAAGATCACAAGGGACAGAACTAACTCCAGTTTACAGAAGAGAGGAAGGAGGAGTGGGGAGAAGGGGGCAGTGAATGGCTTGCCTTGCTGGAGACACACACAACTTACTAGCACACGCAAGGGTGGCTCCATAGGATCATGCAAAGGAAAGCAGCCACCCTAAAACAGGATATCAGGACCAGTACTCAGGGGACCAGCTGATTCTGCAGGGAACTAAAACTTTTCAACATCAAGAAGCAACATTCAATGAAAATGATTTAATCAGCATTTGACATAAGAAGACATGGGACTCACCTGTACAGCCTTGATAATGGCGATCACACCGGTGGGCCAGAAGCAGCAGATTGTGGTGAGCACAGCAATCGGCATGTAGTCATGAGGCGGGCGACGGGGTTCTAGTAGTGCCAATCCCGGGGGGATCTGCGGAGGGGGGATGCCAGGCTGCGGTGGGACATTTCCAGTTTGGTATTGCTGATGGACATAAACAACCAGTTAACAACACACCCAGCAATGTCCTGTTCTGCAGACAGTCATTCATAAACCTGGACCAATCAGAGAACTGAATATCACCCTAAATTCTTAACGCATCAAACGGGTCGCAATGCAACTGGGCAGACGCACGCAGTTGTGATGCAGTTTCTGGTATGAACTAACCCTTAGTGCTGCCACCCCCCTTCTCCAAATCTGAGCACTCCGGTATAGAGGAACACAGGAAGGTGATGTCACGGAAACTGCAGGTCCGGTCCTTCCATTGGCTGTGTGTAAAAATACATTTGATTGAAGGTTTATTGAATATATTAGTGAATTCATTGTTATAACCACCTGGAGCTCAGCATGAATTCATTGACTGGCCTTTTAATGTATTGGGGACTCCAGCAATGTATTCCCAACTCCGCCCCCCTGCCCCGGCCATTACAAGCGCCTCCAGAACCCCTGCTGGATTTTATTTTCCCACTTATTTTACATCTGGGGCAGAGGAAAGATTCTAGAATCCAGGAGCCAGCAGGATCGGAGGCAGCTCCATTCACAAAAACTAGAGGAAGCCTCAAAAGTCGGTCACGCCAGCTGTCATTTGCAAGGCGCATTGGCGACCTGGCTCCTGGGATCTGCTTTACATGACAGCGAATGGAGGAGCTGTGACTCTTCATGCCAGGGAGACACAGATAAGAATTTTCCGTGGACTGGCCCTTTAATGCTGTTCTCAACTATGGCCTAGAAACACGAACCTGCAAACTGTGCTGAATAAAAGAAGTCAGCGGTGACCTAATACAGGCGCCGGTACGGGACGGTGTTGCTGTGCTGGCAAAGAGAGCAGAAACCTGGCAAATAGGGGAGGGCTTTATGCTTAGCCGGCATGCTTCCTGTTTGGTGACATTGCCGGGGGCTTTTCAGGGGCAAAAGCGACGCATAAGAAATGCCATGAGATTGAATGGAAGCTCAGCATCACATGTGGGCATTACCTAGGGTGGTCCATATGCAAATTCAGCCTGCCTAGGACCGCCCACTCCTCCAGACTGACATCCACCCATCGAGGCATTTTGATATTTGCATAACCGCCACGCCCCCTCCCACCCCAAAACAAAGTGAGCTGGCTACGATGCGATCCAGTGCGTTCCGGATAGTTCCCAATAGTGCTTGCAGCATTTTTTCTGAACGCACCGGACCGGAACGCAGGCATTGATGTGCCACGCGTTCATGTGCAGGCGATCGCATTGCGGCCGGAGGGTGTGGTTGCGGTGCCATTGACTTCAATGCAACACCACGCCCCCTCCCGCCCCAAAACAAAGTGAGCTGGCCGGAATGCGATCCAGTGCGTTCCGGCACTAATCGGGCCCGGAACGCACTGTGGCTGGTGTGAACGGGCCCTAAAGTGCACGAGCAGCCAAGACTGTTTTTAGTTTGAAATGAGTGTGAAAGGATTGGAACCCTTGTTGGGTTTTTACTGCCATTTGGGGCTCCATTGGAAAGATTTCCCTTCACTTCCTGTCCCACTGACAACATTTTACAAGTCAGGCAGATAGGGGAACTCGCCGACAGCAACACACGCAGAAATAGAAACACATTTTGTAGTAGAGTGAGGAAAGGCCAGAACCCCGCTTGTTGTTTTTCCTATCGGTGTCCCTATTGCAGATTCATCCTCACTTCCTGTCTGACCGTTGTCAGCAAGACAGGAAGTGAGGGGAAATCTCTCTAATGGGGCCCTGGAAGGCAGTCAATGCCAGGCAGGGGTTCTAATCTAACCCTTCCACGCTACCCAAAGATAAAATCATATTTTTTGTATGGATTTACACTTTAACTATGAAAGATGTCTATGAAACCTCTTATCAAGCTTTAGTTACTTTGTTTCAGGCTGACTCTTCTGACTACATGAGGACAGCTCAGCATGGGGCCCGGCCCCCAGCAAACCTCTCTCCCCTGACTCTCAGGACCGAGAATCTGACTCAGGCGATATATAAATCTTTCACAGGTAAGTCTCTGTATCTGATCTTCCAGTACTCACCGTTCCCATGGGGTATACTGGTACATAGGCCGTGCAGGGCTGCAGGTGCATTGGATACCCCGAAGCTTGCTGCACATACCCTCCGACTGGCATGGTCCCGGTGGGATTGTGCGTCTGCACCACATAGCCCTGCTGGGCTGGTTGCTGGCCCGTGAAAGGCGGATCCTGGTGGTATCCTCCTTGGGCTTCCTGGCGGGTAAGTGTGGGATTGGCTGGCTGGGGTGGTGGATCATTATAACCTGGAATAACCCCATTGCAGGGGCCCTCCCCTGCAGGCTGATTATAGGGTGGGGGAGAGCTGTGGGGTCCCGAGTCCGGAGGGCCTGGAGAGAGCAAGGAGGAAGAGACAGAGAGAGGAAGTTAGAGGACGTATAAGAGATGAAGAAAGAGAGATGACGAGAAAGAAAGAAGAGGGAGAGGAGGGAGGAAGGAAGAAGGTAAGGAAGGAAGAGAGGGAAGGAGGTTGGAAGGAAAAGGGTACGGAAGGAAGGGAGGGAGGGAAGAAGGAAATAAAGGGCGGGAGGAAGAAGGGAAGGGAGGAAGGAAGAAGGGAAGGGAGGAAGGAAGAAGGTAAGGAAGGAAGAGAGGAAGAAGGTAAGGGAGGGAGGAAGAAGGTAAGGGAGGGAGGAAGAAGGTAAGGGAGGGAGGAAGGAAGAAGGTAAGGACGAGAGGGAGGAAGAAGGTAAGGACGAGAGGGAGGAAGAAGGGAGGGAGGAAGGAAGAAGGTAAGGAAGAGAGGGAGGAAGAAGGTAAGGGAGGGAGGGAGGAAGGAAAAAGGTAAAGAAGGGAGAGGGGAAGAAGGTAAGGAAGGGAGGCAGGAAGAGAGAAGGTAAGGAAGGGAGGCAGGAAGAGAGAAGGTAAGGAAGGGAGGCAGGAAGAGAGAAGGTAAGGAAGGGAGGGAAGGATGGAAGTAAAAAAAGAGGCTAAGGGTAGGAGGAAGGAAGAAGGGAGGAAAAAAGGAAGTAGGGAAGGGAAAGAGGGAGGAAGGAAAATAAAGGAGGGGGAGGAAGGAAGGAAGAAGGCAAGGCAGGAAGGGAGGAAGAAAGTAAGGAAAGGAGGGAAGGAGGTTGGAAAAAGAAGGTAAGGAAGGAAGAAAGGAGAGAGGGAAGGCGAAGGTAAGGAAGTGGGGGGGGGGGGGGGAAA